ATATATATATATATATACATATATATGTATATAAGTATATAAGTATACTCAATTTTCAACCCTTGAACAAACGGACGTATTCCAGGTAGGATTCCACCGCACGGCTCGCACAGATAAGGGGGTGCATGCGGCGGGCCAGCTGATCTCTTTCAAGGCCATCATTATCGACAACATGATCGAGGAGATAAATAAGCACCTGCCAGAACAATTCCGTTTCTGGGGTGAGTGCTCGTGCATGTTTTGTCACTAGTGATGATGTGTATGTGTGTGTTTACTATGTGTATGCTTGTGAAGTCGCCTCTCTTCTCATCGTTCATCTGTATTTAGTATAATTATCGCGTGAGTGCGAGTGTGTGTCTTGCTTCCCGTGATGCGCGTATCTGCAAGACTATACGTGACTGATCAACAGACACAGTACCACGCATGGCTGCAATTTAAGGAAGTACGGCTACCATTTTTCATATGCCTAAACTATCATAAATTGCCGTAGAGAGTGTGTACTAAGTGCGACGCATCAGTCATAACAGACGATACACGAGCAGCCAACGGACTCAATGCCAAGAACACAGGCAGTACAGGGCAGCACGATAACTCATCCCTATATACTTTTCCTATCTCAAAACAATTATATCGAGTGTGTAGACTTTCGTGCGCATCGAGTCCTATTCTCAGACTACACCCGAGTTACCAACGGCTTCAATGCCAAGAACGCATGCAATGGATGTTAGTACGAGTATTATATACTTTTCCGATCTCAAACGGTTATATGGTGTGTATTTAATTAAGTGCGCATCAATCCCTATCTACAGATTACACCCGAGTCACCAACGGCTTCAATGCCAAGAACGCCTGCAATGGACGTCAGTACGACTACCTCATCCCCACCTACGTGCTTGCGCCGGGTAAAGACTTGGCCGGGCATGACTACAGGATAGACGGCGACGTACTGGAGCGTGTGAGGAGTATTCTGAAGGAATACGAGGGTACCCGTAACTTCCACAACTACACTCCCAGGAAACACTTTACGGATTCCAGCGCAAAGCGATACATAATGTCGTTCGGGGTATGTGTGTGTGCACGGACGGAGAGCAATCCCACCTGCCACGTGGTAACCGTTTGAGGAATAAAAGTATACGTACGCATATTGTCCCTTACGGTCATGGTATTTTATTGGGTTGTGTGGTTTCGTATTCCGATCCGATTGGGATTATATACACTTATATAATA